TGTTGTTGTTGTTGTGTGTGTACCTGCAGCTGCACGGTGTTGTTGTTGTTGTTGTTGTTGTGTGTGTACCTGCAGCTGCACAGTGTTGTTGTTGTTATTGTTGTGTGTGTACCTGCAGCTGCACGGTGTTGTTGTTGTTGTTGTTGTTTGTGTACCTGCAGCTGCACGGTGTTGTTGTTGTTGTTGTGTACCTGCAGCTGCACGGTATTGTTGTTGTTGTTGTTGTGTGTGTACCTGCAGCTGCACAGTGTTGTTGTTGTTGTTGTTGTTGTGTGTGTACCTGCAGCTGCACGGTGTTGTGTGTGTACCTGCAGCTGCACGGTGTTGTTGTTATTGTTGTGTGTGTACCTGCAGCTGCACAGTGTTGTTGTTGTTGTTGTTGTTGTGTGTGTACCTGCAGCTGCACGGTGTTGTTGCACGGTGTTGTTGTTGTTATTGTTGTTTGTGTACCTGCAGCTGCACGGTGTTGTTGTTGTTGTTGTTGTGTGTGTACCTGCAGCTGCACGTGTTGTTGTTGTGTTGTTATTGTTGTGTGTGTACCTGCAGCTGCACGGTGTTGTTGTTGTTGTTGTTGTGTGTGTACCTGCAGCTGCACGGTGTTGTTGTTGTTGTTGTGTGTGTACCTGCAGCTGCACGGGTGTTGTTGTTGTTGTTGTTGTGTGTGTACCTGCAGCTGCACGGTGTTGTTGTTGTTGTTGTTGTGTGTGTACCTGCAGCTGCACGGTGTTGTTGTTGTTGTGTGTGTACCTGCAGCTGCACGGTGTTGTTGTTGTTGTTGTGTGTGTACCTGCAGCTGCACGGTTGTTGTTGTTGTGTGTGTACCTGCAGCTGCACGGTGTTGTTGTTGTTGTTGTGTGTGTACCTGCAGCTGCACGGTGGCAGAGATGATCATGCTCTTCCTCAGGTCCCCCACCCTGAACATGAAGGTGGGACGTCCGTTGCGCGGGGCGATGACAGCGTTCCTGGAGAAGATGAGCGTCTCCGCCCTCCGGTTGGCCTGCGCTGTCTTCATGAAGACGCAGCCCAGCATCACGGCGTTGATGATCAGCCCCAGGATGTTCTGGATGATCAGCACCGTGATGGCCAGCGGACACTCCTCCGTCACCATGCGGCCCCCGAAGCCAATGGTCACCTGCAGGGGGGGGGTCACATCCTGCAGTGTCATGGTGCGTTCACACCGGGTCTGACTAAGGGGTCTGAAGTAAAGTTATTCCAAAGTTGAAGTCATTTGAGAAAGAGTCTAAGAGTCGATGGTCCTGAGGAACGAGTCAATGACACGTCAGTCACATTTAAATTATAAGACTATGAAACTAGACAGAGTCGCATTTCAAGATTTGGAAGATTTACTATAAACAACAATAAAATAAATGAATAACTATTAAAGAATAAGTCCGGATATGGCTCCATCAGTTAGTGTACGATGAGGGAGCCTCACCTGGACCTCGATGGAGAACAGGAAGGCGGAGGTGAAGGAGTGGATGGCCGTGACGCAGGGCACCATGGGGTCAGAGTCCGGGACGCGGGGCTGCAGGTCCCCGTGAGCGAAGGCCAGGAGCCACCAGATCATAGCAAACAGCATCCAGGAGCACAGGAAGGCCGACGTGAAGATCAGCAGTGAGTAGTGCCACTTCAGGTCCACCATCGTGGTGAACACATCCTGCAGGAAGCGGCCCTGAGGGGGGAGAGCAGAGGGAGGGGGGGTGAGAGCAGAACCAGAGAGGAAGAGAGGGGGGTGAGAGCAGAACCAGAGAGGAAGAGAGGGGGGGTGAGAGCAGAACCAGAGAGGAAGAGAGGG